CCAGAGAGATGGATTGGCAAAATGGCAGCATCAGTGGGCTCAAGCATGGCAACGATAGTAAGGTTGGCCTAGGATCAGGCAGTGTTTTGTTCTGCTGTGCATAGGGTCACTATGAGTCGGTAGCAACTTGATGGCACCTAACAACAGTAATCTTGGGGTTTGGAGTTTTATTTTTTACTCTATGTCCATATAATGTTACACTAATAAGCCAATTCATTACTCCATTGGTGGTGGTGGTGATTATGTGCCATGGAGTCAGTTCCGACTCATATCAACCCTGAATGGGATTTCCACAGCTGTAAATCTTTACAGCTAATCTTTACAGCAGAAAGCCTAATCTTTCTCCCAACCTTGAGGTTAGCAGCCCGATTCGTAACCACTATGCTAATTATGGCATTAAATATGTTTAATATAAATTCAGTCCAATTCTTCCTCATTTTTTTCTTTGAGTTTACTGAGCTCATTTTTATTTGCTTGATTTTCTAGATAAATATTAGTTAGAAACATTCTGTTACAGTCCAAAGACAAATCTTAGTTTTAGAGTTGTGTAAACCTAAATCTCATACATTAAGGAGTCCTGGTAGTGTGGTGAGTTATGTGTTGGACTGCTAACTACAAGGTCAGCAGCTCAAATCTGCCAGCTGCTTTGTGGGAAAAAGATGAGGCTTTCTTTTCCTGTTAAAATTTACAGCCTCTTTAACCCTGTACATCAGAAATAACTCAACAGCATATAACCACCAAATCTTGTATGCTGATATTTTCATAAAATTCCCTAATATTTCTTAAAGGAAATCTTACTGAACTTTCAGTGGCCAGTGAGGAATTAAAAATTACAAAGGTCTTTTTGCCATAAAATTATTATTTTATATTCAAAGTGGTGCTTGTAAATTTGTTTTCCTTGTAGACTATTTTTGTTCCTAGGTTTTATAAAGTTCATAGTAAAGTCACTTGGAGATTTTAAAGAGCATTATAGTATTACTATGCCTTAAGGTTTACAATATATTTTATTTTTCCAGTTTTTCTATAATGAGACTGTATTGCACATCAATTTGCGAGAGAGGTTTGGTTGTACATAATTGTAGATGCTGCATATATAGAGAGCACACAAGAAGACTTAGTCCTAGAATCTTCTCAGACAGCCCAAAACCTCATAGGACCAAGTTCGTAGGTTAGAAAGCGAAGGACCCTAGACTGGGGGACATCTATGTCAGTTGTCACAACATAGTTCATGAAGACAACATTCTGCATCCTACTTTGCTAAGCATCTGGGGTTTTTAAATCATGTGAGCAGCCAAGATACAATTTTTGGTCTACTCCCATTCAGAGCAGAGGAGAGTGATGAAAACCAAAGACTCAAAGGAGCAATTAGTCCAAAGCAGTAATTGGGACCACATGAACCATAGTCTACACAATACTGAGACCAGAAGGACTAGATGATACCCAGCTTTCATTACTGACTTTGGTAACAGAAGTCACAACAGAGTGTTCCTGACCACAGGAGAAAAAAGTAGAACAAAAAAGACCAGATTCACTAGTCTGACAGACTGGAGGAACGCTTTCGACTGTGGCCCTAATACACAGTTCTGTGTGTGTCTGAAACTGAAGCCATTTCTGGAGATTACCTTTAGATAAATAATTGACAGGTCCATAAAATACACAGTACAACCCAAAGAAGACCATGTTCCTTAAAACAAACAATTTCATGAGGTCAAAGGACAACTTTACCCAAAAACAGAAATGATAAGGTAGCTGGTGGTGGTGATGTGTCATGGAGTCGGTTCTGGGAGCAGAAAGCCTCATCTTTCTCCCACGTAACAACTGATAGTTTTGAACTGCTGACCTTGAGGTTCGCAGCCTGATTTGTAACCACTACGCTATCAGAGCTCCTTGATAAGGCAGGAAGAGGTAGAAATTTTTCACAAAAGGAAACAGAACCCAGAGCAGAATTGGAGAGTGCTGACACAGTGCAGGAAACGCAGCTGATGTCATGTACAAACTATCAAATGGGAAACTGATTTACTCATTAACTTTCACCTAAAGCACAATAAAAAAATTTACTAAATACATATTTGCACTAAACTTCATTATTCCGTAGATTATAAATAAAAGCAAAGTTGTTCTCTTATTTTTTATATATAAGCAAATTCTCTTCTTTTTGTTCTTATAAGCATTATTAGTAAATCATTGATGTGTCACAATGTTAATAATTATTTAAATTATCAAGATATCAATTTATGTTTTTTACTTGTATAAAGTTGATGGATATTGATGGGATATTAGTTGAAATCAATATTAATATTGTTTTTGTTTTGTTTTGTTTTTTCCTCTTTTACTTTTTTGACACACAGTGATGCGGTTGACCAAGCCTACTTTATTCACTAATATTCCAGTAACGTGTGAGGAGAAAGACTTACCTGGTATGACATGTACTTTAACCTATTTGCACCTAGGGAAAAACTGAAGCCTCAGTTGTCTACTTGGGAAGAGTAGCTTAGCCTTGCCAATCTCATGCTAACCTTTTGCTAAATTACATGTTACCTATTTTAGTACCATGTTAGTAGTGGTTGGTCATATGATTAGCATCCAATTATAAGTGAAGATACTCTTCATATGCTTTGACAATGAGAAACTTTTAAGTAAAAGTACATTCATATTCATAATGGTATTAAATTTTTATTTATCCTGAAATATTCTGTCTGTATATAAACATTCCCTTTATTTAGAATTATGGAGCTTTTTCTGATAAGTATTTTTATTTCTGTTATTTTT